CAACTCGTAACGAAGAACGTAGACTCGACCCTGATAAATGGCCTGAAAACAAAAAAATAGATAAATAAATAAATATATTAAAATTGATAAATAATTAGATAAATTAGTAAATGAATAGAGAAATAAATATGAAAACTGAACTTTTGATTGGAGCTTTTCTCCAAACCCTCTAGTTAAGCGACAGTTCTGGACTTAGTTTGTGTCCCTCCACGCAATTAATCGGTTTAATTTACAAAAAAAAAAAATTATAATATCTTTGTTCTAAAGTTAAGCGCTTTGATAAGTAACTTTCCTTCGAACCGGTGCGGCTTAAGAATTTGTACTTTAAAGCCTTTGGCTTTTATGTTTTGGACGGTAATAATACCTCTCGTAATGTGTCATCGCTTCCCAAAGCTTTTTGTACAGCACCTTCCCAGTCAAATTTTGGATTCAGTGTGTTATAGAGTGTGTCCCAATCCAACCCTACTGGACCTGGACGAGGATAAAGGAAGGATTAAAAGAAAACAATGTAGGACATGTGCACACTTATTTTTATTTGTATTCGTTCCTGTCTTGTTATTATTGTTATCATCATCATCATCATCACCACCGTCATCATCATTATCATCGTCATTATTATCATTACATTCAATATGACTATTATCATCATTACCATTATTCTTGCCATAATCAGTAGAAGATGGATGACAGTTATTTACATTGTTCTTTCCATATCATTACCGCTGAAAGAAAGTGTAAAAGCTGGCAAAGAGCCAGCATTTGGAAGAACCCATCGAGTACGATCCAAAGTTGAAAAGTAGCTAAAAAAAGTTATTAATGTTTTTCTGTAACTTGAAAGATAGTAATTGTTCTTCTGGCGACAGCAATCTTAACGGAAGTTTTACCATGTTCGAGAGTCACTCGTCTCAGTGACATAGGGTTGACTCCTGCCAGACGCTGTTGAGTGAAGAACCTGTCACTTATCCACTCAGTCTTTTCGTCAATGAAGGCTTCGTGCTTCGATGGCCGCCTGCTATATACCTTGATGAATAAAAACACAGAGGGTTGCTCTACGAATGAAGAATTCTTAGTCGCCAGTTCGAGCGACTCAGTGCATAAGCTAGGTCATATGCTATACATGTATGTGTATGGCTTACCTAAGGTTTCTTTTATAACTACTGTTGTATATTTTTTTTGTCCATAAGCTTACACCAAGAAGCTTTCTGCGTAGTAGTATGGTAATACTGACCATACTAGTATGATAGTAGTAGTAGTAATAGTAACAGTAGTGGTAGTAGTAGAATAAGTAGTAGTAGTGGTAGTAGTAGAGCTAGAAGTAGTAGTAGTAGAAGTAGTAGTTGTAGTAGTAGTAGTAGTAGTAGTAGAAGTAGTAGTAGAAGTAGTAGTAGAAGTAGCGGTATTAGTAGAACTAGTAGTAGTAGTAGTAGTAGTAGTAGTAGTAGTAATAGTAGTAGAACTAGTAGTAGTAAAAGAACTAATAGTAGTAGTTGTAGTACTACAATTAGTAGAAGCAGTAGAATTAGTAGTATTAGTAGTAGTTGTAGTAGAACTAGTTGTAGTAGTAGCAGTTGTAGTAGAACTAGTTGTAGTAGTAAAAGTAGTAGCAGAACTAGAAGTAGTAGTAGTAATAGAACTGGTAGTAGTAGTAATAATAGAACTGGTAGTAGTAGTAGTAGTAGTAGTAGTAGTAGTAGTAGTAGTACTAGTAGTAGTAATAGAACTGGTGGTAGTAGTAGTAGTAGTAGTAGTAGTAGTAGTACTAGTAGTAGTAGTAGTTGTAGTAGTTGTAGTAGTAGTAGTAGTAGTAGTGCTAGAACAAGTAGTATTAATTATAGTAGTAGTAGTAGTAGTTGAACTAGTAGTAGTAATAGTAGTTGTAGAACTGGTAGTAGTAGTAGTAGTAGTAGTAATAGTACTGATAGTAGTAGTAGTAGTTGTAGTAATAGGAGTAGTAGTAGTAGTAGTAGTAG